GCAAATAAAATAAGAACTAAAATGTTTTAAATGTTTATTTTATAAGATCAGTCCCATCACAATACATATTACACAGACACAAACTAGAATAAAGATATATAATGCCTGGCATTCTAGAGGATACTCTTCGTAGTTTAACAGACCCCCCATAACCCCCATTTTAAACCAGATTGTTTTCACAATCAATAGGCCTCATCTGCTTTTAGAGATTGATGTTTGCTAAACATTTCAAGTTTATATCATTTTTCAGTTAGGATTTTTTTTTATATTTTAACCCCCCTTAAATCCCCCATATATTCATATTTTTTTCAGTATTAATAGGCTTTATCTTCTTATAAAGCTTAATTTTTACTACAGATTTCATGTTGATATCGCTTTTCATTTTTAATTTAGGATTTTTTTAATTTCAACCCATCTTAACCCCCTATTTTTAATCAGATTTGTTAAAAATCAATAAGCTTTGTCCTCTTATAGAGCTTGATTTTTGCTTAAAATTTCCAAGTTGATTTCATTTCTCGTTTTTGACTTATCGTGTAGACAAAAAACCTGACATCGGACAGACAGACAAAATAAACCTTTAATACTCTTCACAGAATACTGTATGAAGAGTAGAAAAAAAATGTATGAGGTAAAATAAACAATTTAAAAAGGTCAACAATAATATTCAACTTCTTTTATCAAAGGATACTAAAAGTTTGAAATAGCAGCACATAATTGAACACAGAACACAGAAATCCGTGAACTAAACTAGTGAGATGCATATCGTAAAATGTTATCACACTTAATTCTCCATATGACACTTTCTAAGTGTATTTCACAGAACATTCCAAAGTATTCTTGCTTTCACTAATGTCCTACCCTCATGGCTGGTTTTGCACGTCCAAGTTTACTAAAAAATAATGTGTTTTAATAAATAATAGAATATTAACAATTTTGTTTAAATAGGTAAATCGGCTTCATCTGTATTTTTAAATTATTGTTTAATTATAGATAGTATATTAATGTTTTGATATGTACTTATAGGATTGATTAGCCAGAGGATGTAGATGTGGGATGTGACTTATTAAATGCCTAATCAAAATCACAATTTACGTTTGATACTTATTTCGAGACTTTTTTCGAGACATTCTTTAGTAACTGTAAACTACTTTACCAATACCCTTATTTTTATTTAATACCTGTAGTGATTCTAATTACCATAACATTTAATATTTTTGAAAATACTAAATTATACAAACAAGGCAATAAAAAAATATCATTAAAATAAAATATTTCTTGTTTGTATGTAACAAACGACCTTGGTCAGAGGGTAACACGATTGATAATTGTAAACATAACTTTATATAGGTAAACTATTTAAATGTACATACCATTTCTTAGGTAAAATTTCTCATGGAGTATATTAAATTAATTGGCTGATCCATTCTTCTGATTTAGACTTTTAAAGTGAAAACCATTTGTCTCTTTATGCTAATCAAATTTTTATTGTACATTTCCATAATGATGTCAAATAGTTACCTCATCAGAATAATTAAATTTTAACTTTTAGCAGATTTTGTGGGAAAAAATTTACAGATTTTTTGTTTACTTCTTACTTCATAGTATTTACAATTGTGTACAAAATAGACCATTTTGAAGTTGTCTTTGGATGGTCTAGATACTGAAACAAAATATAAAACAAATTATAGTCGTAAAACTTTATTAGTGCTTTATTATAAAGTAAATAAACAAAATATAACCTTAAAATATTTTATTTATTTACCTTGCCTCAAAAGTTTTTCTTGAACAATAATTACATTGACACACATCCTTCCAATTTATTAAAATTGCAGTTCTCAATTAAACACATTTTTTTAAATAATCACAAATAAAATAAACTTAATTTTATTAAAATCGATGGAATGATAGTATTGACATTGACAGTTTGTACTTTGATTTGGTACATAGTTGCCAGAATGTTTTTGTTATGTACCAGATTTTTCTAAAAAATGTACCAGATTCCTTAAATGTACCAGATTTTTCGAATTCTATTTGCAGAGGAAAAAAGAGGATCTTTATTGATAACGAACCCAAACAAGGAACACAATATATACATATATTTTACACGTGAACACTGATGCATGCAGAATGTACTACATCTAGTACAATTGTGAATTGTACTAGACTGGCAACACTGGTTTGGCAAACTTGTTTGTGAGCGGCGCGCCAATTAATTTGTCCTTTGACAGTTTGAAGGATCTGTTGGCGTGTTTTCATCTCTTTTTAGCTATATGTATTCGTCAAATCGTCTCACTCGTGTTAGGCTCACTCATCATAATGCGCCACAGACAAGGTTTACTTAGGTATATTGTGCCACAGAGACGCGATCAGCCAGAAAGCAATGATGTACCAAAAAATATAGATTAACACGTATGAAAATAAAAATATTAAAATTAAATTTATATTTTTATGTTATTTATGTAATTTTAAAATAATGTGTCTTTATGAAATTGAACTGGGTGTTCACTGCACAAATGAACCAATGGAGAAACCGCCCCTGGTTTCATCGGTAAGTATTTTTAGGTTAAGATATGTTGTTTTCATTTGAACCAGTGGATTTGATTTGATACAATTTCTTATAGAATTTAAATTATATAGGATCACATAGTAAATTGTTTGAAAAATGATTATCCAATCTAATTTTTGAGACAATTTACTGCAGGTTTGATAATATACAATTTAAATTGTACAAGAAATTGTATCAAAAACTTGTGTAGTCTGAAAACAGTTTTTAAAGTGATATTCCTTTTATAAATTAGTAAATTTTTCTTATACCAATAAATAATTATTGAATAGTGGCAAAGAAAATTTAACGTAAAATGTAGAATACCTTAACAAGTATTAGAAATTAAAAAGTTAAAAAAACCGACTTCAAAAACGTGCAGATGCCGTCACCACATCTTAACCAAATTTATATGGGACCACCCCTGAGGTACTTCCTTACTAACAAAAAAGAATCATATAAATCGGACAAGGTGGTAAAGTATTATCGCTAAACATACATAAAAATGAAGATTTTGAGAATTTTCTCATGGACCCAATTATTAGATTTTGACCAAATTTATATAAAACCACCCCTAAAGTAGCCCCTTTCTAACAAAAAAAGAATTATTAAAATCGGACACCGTGTTAAAGAATTATCGCTGAACATACATAAAAAAAAATATCGCGACGAATTTATAACCTCCTCCTTTTTTGAAGTCGGTTAAAAATGATTTACCTATTGAACACCTATACATATTTTTTATTACTCTATTTAGGTTTCCGCAAGATCCTGAGAAAAGAAAACTTTGGTTTTCTCTAATAGGAATCCTTGAAATCAGCCCATTCGTAAAAACCCAGAGTTGTGTTTAGAACACTGTTTTCCTGAAAATGTTCTGGTACGTGTAAATGATACTAGATATATTAGAAAAGATGCAAACTCCAGACGGTGCGGTGTGAGGAGGGCTTTCTATTTTTGGATGACTTATCCAACAGGTAAAAATACAAAATATTAATTTTTTGTTTACCTCTAAACATTATTTATTAAGGCCATGACAGGCCCCGGACCCTTCTGTGGAGTTGGTAAGGCATTGTGCAAGGCATCCATTAAACAATGGATGCAAACAGAGTCTCAGGAATGGTGGAACAACTATCCAAGACTGAGACAGGCCAAACAGTACATCAAGGAACCATCGGCCAAGTTCACGAAAGACCTACTGGATCAAAAGCGTCAAATCGTTAGAATAACAGTAGGCCTTCTTACTGGACACTGTCGCCTCAAAAGGCACATGAGTGTCATAAATCCAGCAGAAGGAGCAACTTTGTGCAGGTTCTGTGAAGAAGAAGAGGAAACAATATTCCACGTCCTGTTCCAATGTGAATGCCTGGCTGGAACGAGGTTTCTAACATTGGGCGAAGAAAAGCCAATTGCATGCAACTACATGCGAGAACCACTGTCAAAGCTACTAAGACTAATAAAAAAGACCAGGCTAGACGACATACTCTAAAACAAACAGGAGTCCCACAATACATCTGAAAAAGTCGCGGTGGACAAGGAGAAATAACTTATAATCTAATCTAATCATGAAAAAATCATCATAATTATATTACTAAAAAATATACCTACATATTTAAGTATTTTTTTAATATACTACTCTGACAATACTGGTAAGTTTAAAACTCTACGCCACTGGCGAGCATATTATGGACAATGTTTACAACGTTGCCAGCCGGTCATAAGAGATCTGTCTTTCTCTCTTCCACTCACTAACAATTTTAAAACAATAACAGTCCACAATTGTATGGGATTTGTGAATAAAACATTTTGTCTATATGTTGTAGTCTTTGATTATCTACTATATTAGCGACACAAATTAGTTTTCCCGAGCTTAAGGTAGGTTCTAGATGTAAGTTATCGTGTCAATCAATAAACCAATTGACTCCATTGTTGTTTGATACCTATTTATTTATCATAGGGTTAAAAATTATTCCAGATTATTGCTTAGCATAAAAAAAACTGAATTTTTAGTTAACAATCTCTTTTCCCAATCGCCACTAATGGACCATAAATAACACTCCAATTTTTTTAATAGTCCATTATAAACTTTACCACTTATAAAGTACTTTTGCAAAATTTTGCCACTCAGATATTACTAGAAGCCATAGAAATAATTGTTAAAGTTGAACATTTTATGCCCCTTACTTATGTCTCGTAACGTGTACAGGGTGAGCAAATTTCGATGTTGTAATAGAGAATCTCGTTAACTATAAATGGTATGTGTTAGCATATTTCATTAATACTACATGGACTACATACTTGTCCTGTACCTAGACATTAAGTTAGTTCGTTATTGGATAGATGAAGAACGTCAGGTCAGACATTTTTCTAGTTTTCTAAATTGTCAATCATTATTCATTATTAAAGTATTTTCTGTGATTAGTGTTCATTCATTCACTAGTTAACAGTGGCGACGAAGATAATGGACGCCGACACCCTTGCAATATTATTGCAGCAGCAAAATAAAATTTTGGAACTAGCAAAAAAAATTGACAATGTTGTTTCAGGGGCCAGCTCTACTACGGATAACACAGAGTCATTTATTGAATCTTTAGCTAAAAACCTAATGGAGTTTGTACCAGATTTGGATAATAACGTTACTTTCGATTCGTGGTTCAGAAGGTATGAAGATTTATTCCTTATAGATGGAGATAAGTTAGACGACGCAGCTAGAGTTCAGTTACTGCTTAGAAATTTAATTACTCCGGCTCATGAGAAATATATAAATTTTATTTTACCTAAACATCCACGAGAATATACTTTTAATCAGACGGTAGCGACTCTAAAGAAGATTTTTGGACAACGAATTTTAATTTTTAATGCTCGATATAAATGCTTTCAAATTTCAAAATCTGAGACAGACGATTTTCTTACTTATGCCGGAATCATAAATAAACAATATGAAGATTTTCAATTAAATAAATTATTTGAAAATCAGTTTAAATGCTTAATGTTTGTTATTGGGTTAAAATCGGCGCAGTATTCCAACATTACCACTCGACTTCTATCTAAAATTGATAAGGACGATAAAGATGATATATCATTGAAACAGTTAGTAGATGAATGTCATAAAATATTAAGTCTAGAAGCAGATACGGCATTAGTTGAACAAAATTCATCACAAGTCCATGCTGTTATTAATAAAATCAAAAACTCAAATCTTGAAGACAATCCGAAGAAACCGCGCACTCCCTGTTGGCAATGTGGTGCCTTAAAGATGGATACTGTTCTTGTTTTCAAAAAAAGATTTTCTCAATCTTCTACAAATAATTTCAGAAATAAGAATACATTTCAAACAAAAAGCATTTTTATCAATCATGTCAGTTCATCTAGGAAATTTATTGATGTTTACATTAATGATTCTAAAGTTATACTTCAATTTGACTCTGCTTCTGATGTAACTATTATTGATGATGAAACATGGAAAATGATAGGTGAACCTACTATTTCACAAACCAACCAGATTGCAAAAAATGCTTCAGGTGAAGAAGTTAAACTTACAGTAACAATTAATTGCCAAATTGCCTTAGAAAACTTAGAGCCAGTCAGTGGAACATGCTTGGTCTCGTCCATTACATTTAAATCTGCTTGGTATTGACTGGATTGAGAAAATGGGACTTTGGACGATCCATAAACTCAATATATCATAAAATTGGCACTCAGCTACAACCAACATCTTTGGAAGAAATCAAAACTACCTTCAAAGATGTATTCAATAATGACCTGGGTCACTACAATAAGTCAAAAGTAAAGTTCTTCACAAAACCAAATGCAAAACCAGTATTTTGTCCAAAAAGACCCGTGGCATACAACGTGAAACAAGCAGTTGAAGATGAGTTAGATCGTCTGGAGTCTATGGGAGCCATAACACGTATAGATTTTTCAGATTGGGCAGCGCCGATTGTTGTTAAAAAAACAAACGGAAAAATCAGAATCGGCGCTGACTATTCAACTGGTTTAAACAATGCTCTAGAACCTCGTTGTTATCCACTACCCTTGCCTGAAGAAATATTTTCAAAAATTTCTGGAGTTGTTAATTTTAGCAATTTAGATTTATCAGATGCATATCATCAAATAGAAGTGGATGACACATCAAATAAAATGCTTAGCATCATAACCCATAAAGGGTTATATCAATACAATCGTCTACCCTTTGTTGTCAAAATCGCACCAGGTGCTTTCCAACAAATCATAGACACCATGTTGTCAGGTTTAAACATGATTGCGCCATATTTAGATGATATTATTATTTCTGGGGGAAATGTAGCAGAACACAATAACAATCTTCATCAAGTACTTATCAGAATACAAGATTGTGGTTTTAAACTTAAAATAGAAAATTGCAATTTTTGATGACAGAAGTCAAATTCCTAGGGCACATTGTAAATAAACATAGGAATAGGCCAGATCCATCTAGAGTTCAAGCAATTATACAAATGTCTCCACCCAAAGATGTTTCCTCTCTAAGATCTTTTCTGGGAGCAGTTAATTATTATGGAAAATTTTTAAGTAACATAAAAAGTCTTAGAGGTCCGTTAGATAATTTACTCAAAAAGGATTCAAAATGGCAATGGACACAAGAATGTCAGAATTGTTCTGAAAATTTTAAAACAGCATTAACTTCTGATTTGTTGCTTACTCACTATGACCCTAACTTACCAATTACAGTAGCTGCAGACGCATGTTCCTATGGTATAGGTGCATGTATTTTACATACATTTTCTGATGGTACAGTGAAGGCAATTTGCCATGCGTCTCGCTCTTTAACATCAACAGAACAACAATATAGCCAAATAGAGAAGGAAGCACTTGCTTTAATTTTTGCAGTTACTAAATTTCACAAAATGATTTTTAGAAGAAAATTTATTTTGCAGACCGACCACAAACCATTATTATCCACTTTTGGTTCAAAAAAAGGAATACCTGTATATACCGCAAACAGGTTACAGAGATGGGCACTTGTTGTCTTATGATTTCGAAATATGTTTTGTATCAACAAATTCGTTTGAAAATGCAGACTTTTTATCCCGACTTATGGACGCCAAAACCAAACCAGATGAGGAATTTGTCATTGCTGCTATGCATATGGAGGATTCCAATAAACAAATATTAAGCGATATTAAAGAAAATCTCCCTATTACAGCCAACATGATAGCCAATGAAACCAAGAAAGATAGCATTTTACAGAAAATTGTTTATTACGTTACTAATAATTGGCCGACCAATATTGATAATGAAGATATTCAACAGTTCTTTAACAGAAAAGATTCTTTATCTATCATGCGAGATTGTCTCATGTTTGGTGACAGAATTGTAATTCCAAAGAAATTTATAAAAATAATTTTGAAACAATTTCATAGAGGTCATCCAGGTAAAGAAAGAATGAAAGGGACGGAGAATCAGTTTAATAAAAGACATGGAGCAAAGCAGAAGTTTTTTACTCCAGGAGATTTAGTATTCGTTAAAATTACTTCTCGAAATGTAAAGGAATGGACAACAGGAAAAATTATAGAACGCACCGGGAATGTAATGTGTAATGTTTTTCTAGGAAACAAAAATAATCTCGTCAGAGCTCATGCAAATCAGCTGAAAACAAGACACTTTAAAGTACCCTGTAACAATATACAGACCAAAAAGTTGCCCTTGGATATTTGAATGGACACGTGTAGTTTAGTACCAACCTCAACAACTCTACCCGACCATATTCCCACTAATAGCTCAACTAGTCAACAATTCAACATTCAAAATAGACCTCGTCGTATTACACAAAGATTGACTGACCTCGGCATACCCTGTCAAGGTTATGCCGACGACATAGTCATATTTGCTAGTGGCAAGTTTAGTAATATCCTGTGTGATATAGTCCAAAGAGGACTAGAACAAACCAAAAGATGGTGCCGTAAAGTGGGACTTAGTATAAACCCTACAAAAACAACACTAGTAGCCTTTTCAAGGAAAAGAAAACTTAATCTCAAAACCGTTAAATTAGACGGGATAGATATAGAATGGAAAAATGAAGTCAAATATCTAGGCCTAATCCTGGACAACAAACTTCTCTGGAACACACATGAGAAGGAAGTGCTTACCAATGCCACAAAAGCCCTAATGGTATGCAGAAACATGGCGGGTAAACGATAGGGATGTAACCCAAACATACTGCGATGGATTTATACTGCAATAGTGATACCAATTATCACTTACGGGGCCATAGCTTGGAGTAACCGAACTAGTTTAGTTACTACGAGAGCTAATATCTTAAAAGTACAAAGACTAGCCTGTGTTTGCATTACTGGTGCAATGAGAACCTGTCCTACGGCCGCAATGTAGGTGATCTTAAACCTCACCCCTCTACATTTGATGATAGAGAATGTGGCAAAAAGGACACAATATAGAATGATCAGGAGCGGAGTAATCAGACGAAAGTCTACTTGCTTCAGGACTAAAGATACCTGGGACATGCCCCAGGATGAAATGTAAAAGAAGTACAGTTTTGTGAAAAACTTCAAAACTACAGAGCTGGGCTGCAAGAAAGAATGGAGCCAAGAATCCATCGCGCTTGCAACCGAAAGACGTGCTATTCAGTGGTACACGGACGGTTCCAAAACCATAGAAGGAACTGGAGTAGGAGTGTATGGGCCGAGAACCAAGCACTCCGAAAGCTTGGGAAAATACCCAAGCATTTTCCAGGCGGAAATTCACGCCATCGAGAAGTGTATCCAGTTTAACATCGAGAGAAACTATCATAGACAAGAAATTATCATCATGTCCGATAGTCAAGCAGCCATCAAAGCGCTGAGTTCTTACGTAATCAGCTCAAAAATGGTATGGAGATGCCTAGAACAATTGAATGAGCTAGGCGAGAAAAATAGAGTTACTCTCACTTGGGTCCCGGGACATAACGGGGTACAGGGTAACGAGATTGCAGATAGTCTTGCAAGGAAAGGGGCTCAAACACCCTTTGTAGGACCTGAGCCGTTCTGCGGTATCAGCAGTAACATAATATTAGAAGAGATTAAAAAAGAATTGGGTAGTAGAAGAACCGATAATTGGAACAATCTCTTGGGGCTGAGATAGGCCAAGATACTTCTGGGTGAATATAACCATAAAAGATCGGAAGCCTGCATCTGCCTAAGCAAGAACAGGCTACGTATTGTAACAGGGATCCTTACCGGGCACTGCCGACTAAAAGGACACCTAAGTAAACTGAGAGTAGTAGAGGATAGTGAGTGCAGATTCTGTGAGGAGGAGGACGAAACCTCCATTCACATCCTAACTGAATGTGTAGCACTCCAGAATCCAAGGGCACTATATCTAGGAGGATATCAAATAGAAGAGGGAGACTTACCTAACTTGAAGCCACTTCAAATCCTACACTTCCTTGAGAAAATAGGATTGGAAGGGTCGCTATAGGCATTGAGACATTTCCTTAGTGCAGTGGCGACAGAAGGGGGCACAATAGATCTTTTAGGTGGCAGTGTATTAACACCCCATTATCAACATAACATAACATACACAAAGACCTAAAGACCTAAACGATGCGGATATGATGATTTGAGTTAAAGAAAAAGGGAGATGTTAGCAAATTTCATTAATACTACATGGACTACATACTTGTCCTGTACCTAGACATTAAGTTAGTTATTGGATAGATGAAGAACGTCAGGTCAGACATTTTTCTAGTTTTCTGAATTGTCAATCATTATTCATTATTAAAGTAATTTCTGTGATTAGTGTTCATTCATTCACTAGTTAACAGTATTGAAAAATGGACCTCCCAATTCTCGATCTCTTTTTTTTGAAAAAAACTTATTGGCATTTTCAAAAATTGGCAATTGTCTTTTGTTTTCGAGTTGTAAACAATGCAATGGAAAATCCGCCGATTGACTTAACAAAATTGAGAAATGAGGTTGAACATAGATTAGAAGACAGTAGAAGAATGCAGAAACATTATTATATCAGCAAAAAAGATAGAGCGCCAGAATATCATGTGAGTGAGAAGGTTCTAGTAAAAGTAACGAGCTTTAGAAACGACGGTAATAGCAAGAAGTTGAAAGAAAAGTTTAAAGGACCATTCACGGTTATAGGTGTTATTGGAAATGATCGATACCGAGTAAAAGATGACCTAGTCCCTAATGCAATGCAAAACATCCAGACGTTATGAGGCACTTGTGACAGCAGAGCATATGAAACCTTTCATTGCTAGGAATGATGACATATGGCAAGATTAAGTGAAAGAAAAAGAAATACTGGTCATGTATGTCTACTGAGAGCTGAAATAGCACTCATATTGCACTAGGATATATAGAAGCAATAAGAGAATAAGAGAGACTGGTTATGTATGGTTATGTATGGTTATGTATGGTTATGTATGGTTATGTATGGTTATGTATGGTTATGTATGGTTATGTATGGTTATGTATGGTTATGTATGGTT